ACAAGAAGACACGGACTCGCCGCTCCCGGTGGCAACTCTGTAGCATGCGTTGCGTGTATCCATATAGCATGTGTTGAAAGGCTGCAACTTCCTTCAAGATGTTCTTTGAATTTCCTCAAACGCCGCATGCCGAGGCAATGGACGAAGGTCTTCCACCCTCGACTCTAACCACAACTGGTCCTAAGTGCCAACCACAGATGCCTAAGCATGCCATGAAGGAAGCTTTGCCGCAATGGCTCGCGACAACCCATCGTTATTTTGCTTGAAGCACACACACACACACAACTGTCGCGAAACTCCTCAGTACCGCTTTGCAGGACTGGGCATGTCATGTACAAGCAAACCGGATTGGTAAGCCCAGCAAGTACACTAGGCTGGACATCTTCACAGTCGCAGCAGTTGTGTAACGATGTCGGCTCGTGTTGGAATGGCACCCGGTGCTTGGCTGGCCACTCTAACTTGTTCCTGGCAGAGCACACGGAGGGTTGGCTCCCTCCTAGCTGCCGCCATTACGTAGTTTAATTTGTTGAAGAAGAGTGCCCCAAAAAAGATTTTTGTCGTGCTATTGCACGACAATTGTCTCCGTCGGCATACTTGGTGACACACTTGCATGGTCTGGATCAGTTTGTTACTGCGAATCCACCTTTCCTCACGGGTCAAGCTTTCCCACGAAGCTCGACGGATGCTTGACACTTCAATCAGAACCAAAAAAATCTGTGCATCTGCTGTGCGGGCCTGTCTTTGCAGCCCTCAATCATGCAAAGTATTCATGGATCCTACTCACACTCCGGCATCGGCAGCGACCATCGATCTTTATTGGAATGGCTGCATGCAGCAGGTACTTTCAGCCTCGTGTACAAACGCAGTAATGCGTTGCGCTGACATCACGTTCTGCAGTTGTGCACACAGCCGGGCAGCGTTTGATGTGGTGCAAAGTCTTCAGGCCTGGCAATGCGAGACTGCGAGACCATGCCAAAGCAAGAAAAAGGCTGTAGGTTGATGAACTGGCGAAGCTTCGTGATGCAATGCAGCACAAGGGGCAAATGATCTGAGCGATTCTGAAGACCAGGAACCATCCGAGAAGGACGCCTCATGCACGCACAAAACCGTTAGCACCCCATCAACGCTCAAACACCGTGGGCGCAGAGGCGGCGACCTAGAGATCTACCGATGTGGCTCTCGAAGCCGAAAAGGATCTCCTCGTGTGCGCTGTGTGCGGTGTGTGGGGCCCGTAGCAGCTTCGACTGTCTTAGGCTCCAGCCACGACCTTCAGCTCATCACCTGACGCTTGAAGTCGAAAGAATCATGAGCTACTGTGCAAAGGCACAAACATGCAAAGCGTGAAAGGAATGGATTCCACTGACGGCACAGGACCTTCTTGCAACTATATAGAAGCGAAGTGCAATTCAAGTGCAATACAAACTTGAAAGAGAAGCTTGCGCAGCAGCGAAATAGCCCCACAACAAACTCCCTTAGCCTTAGCCCGAAAGGCCCCTTCTGGGAGCAACGGCTGTCGGCTCTCTTTTGGATTGCGAGCACCATCTCCTCCATGGCATGGGCCACGGGAGAGAGCTCCAAGGCCCATGCCTCGGAGCCAGGAATTTCGACATGCCCTGACCGTGACACATCATCCCGCTTCTAGCAAGTCCTCTCACAGGAGTACTCGTTTCCTTCTGGCTTGCTTTGGCTTCACCCTCCCGGCGACCAGGAAGTTTGCCGGAGTATGTTGTCCAATGTTGAACGAAGCCCGTTGACTGAAAGTCGAAACCTCGCGTCTAAACCCGTCGTGGTGGTGGATGCACCGTCTGGCCCTTGTGAAGCAATCAACGCGGCCCACGGCTGTAGCAGGTCTTAAGGAACTACCAAAACGGGGCGCCCCCTGAGCACGGTCCAATCATCTAACACAAAACGATTTTAATCAAGCACTCTCCGTTGAAACCCTTTGTCTAGACAAACGGTGCCAGACCGTTCTGTGTTTGGGGTGCTTGGTCTGGGCGGTCAGGGTCGGGGTCTAGCTTGATTTCCGAAGGTTTGGTTGCATAATACATAATAATACGGATTGCAATTTGGGCTGATAACGTTGATGGTCTGGTTTTCGGGGCGGAAGCCTGCCCCTGTTCCACTGGCGCGGCTATATTATGGTGAGTGAAAGCTGCTGATGCTGCTGTTCGTCCTGCTGCCGCTGCGGCCGTTAGCTGCTGCTGTTGCTCTCGCCTCCGGTTGCCAGTCTTGGTCGCAGTACGGTGAACCAATGTGCTCCGGAATATTATCAAACAACCAAGAAATGAGGCTCTGGTGCACTCCAAAAAATTTTTGAGAGTCTCGCCCGAAGGTCATAGGGTGCTAGAAGCAGATGGCCAACAGGATTACGGTAACCATGATTTTATATGTGGAGCACGGCGAACCCCGTAGACCCACAGGGGTAGTATGACGTATCTGTTTTATTCCGGAAAAAATCGTATTCCGTATATGTAATATATCTGTACAGTTTCACCAGCCGAAACTCTCCAACCGCCTTAAGCTAAGACTATCCCTCCCCTCGAAGGCGCGGAGTTTCGGGTTTGAAACCCTACCTGACCAAAACCCTGGACTAGCCCTTTGCCCACGAGAAGAAAAGAACCAGCGGGAATTGAACCCATGCGCGTCGCGACCAGACTCTGCTGGCTTAACCACTGTCGAAGATGATCCAGATGCGGCTTGGCCCGGGCGGAGGCGATGCGCTCTGTTTTTGCTGGCAAGAAAATGATTTTGAAGCGAATTTGCGCGACGTTAACAAGCTGGGCGGGTGGCTGCCAAAGCAGCACAACACACGGACAGGGAGCTTAATGGCGATGGTGTCTTGATGAATGCGTGGGGAGGTCTTCTTATGTGTGAACCAGCAGCATGGTTTGTGCGAAAACTTAGAAACGAGACAGGGCAGACATGACTTGCATTCCGCGCACACACACACACATACGTGTACTTAACAGGCACTTCAGATAGATTGTGTTGTTGTTGCTGCTGCAGTTGCAGTTGCCGTTGTCGTTGTGGTGGTTGTTGCTGTTGTTGTTGGCAGATGTTGCGTTTGCCGCCGCGCAGGGTGGAGCGATTTCAGGGCTGCAATGTGCTAAAACTCGAGTTTTGGCACATTGCTGTCGGGCAAAACACCTCCGTTTCTTATTTCGTATCGGTTTGACGGTGTTTTCTTCAGAGAAACATGTTCGATTTCAGGGCTGCGCTGTGCCAAAACTCCATTTTTCGCACATGGCCGCTTGGTCTTCTGTAGGTGTTTACAGTCATCCGCGGCTTCTCCGTCCCCGTTTTGAGCTTGCAAGTCGGGCTCCTTTCTTCTTTGTACTTGCTGTGTCTCTGCTTCTTTTTTGCTCCGTGTAGGGGTGGGGAGCGGGGAAAAAAATAGGTGGGGGGCTGCTGACGTCCATGCTAATGCAGCTTACATGCAGTGTTGCTTTGTGCTCTGTGCAGGGGTGGGGACAGCAGCGTCCCCCTCGCCTTTTCTGCCGAATACTCTTGAAACCCCCGATCGCAACGAATGCTCCCCACATCTCTCCTGGTGATGTTCCTCCTCATACCTTACATCGCAAGCATTGTTCCCAATCACCTTTTCTGGTGATGATTCTCTTGGCCCTTTGGAACACACTCAGTCGCAAGGACTATCTCCTTTATCTCTTCTGGCGATGATGTTCCTCAAGCCTACAAGGTACAGATAGTGTTGACAGCTCATTCTTCTTGAATCGTCCCTTATCCTCTCGAGGGTGACATAATTGTGGGGGATGATTCCTACAGGGTCGCACCTGTGTATGTCTTACACTGCCGCCATCCAGCTAAGTCGAATTCACCATTTCGTACAGTTTCGGCAGTGATTGTCCGGGGTTGCTGCTTTCATGGAGGTCTATGGCCCCCGTTCCTCGTGGCTGGCTTAAACTGGATGTAAAAATGCCTGCTGGAATTGTGCGCTGTGTAGCCACATATATATAGTGGTAAGTAAGCATACACATGTACTCCTACTGAACACCCAAAGGATGCAGACCTGCAGAGATTGCCCTGGAGGTACACATGGTGAAACAGGTCCGTGAAATGACTTCAACCTAGCGGAGAGTGACGGACAACAGCAGAATTAGACACGTTTGTTGCTGCTGTTGCGGCGGGGAGGTGTGTTGTTGTTGCTGTTGCTGCGGTTTGTTGGGGGGAGGGGGGGAAGGGGATTCTGTTTTGTGTGGTGCTGTTCTTGCGGGCGTTGTGTGACTCCTGCTTGATGTTCCTCTGGGGAGAAGCAGTCGCTCACTCACTTGTTCGCTTGCCAGGGCCTCATCTGTGGAGCACAAATACAGAAAGGCAGCAACGGCGAAAAGGCAAAACACATCCATTCCTTTGCTGATCTCAACGACCATGGAAGCAAGAACGTGCATGCAAACTAGTCACACGTGTCCTCAAGAAGTGGTCGAACGGCGAGAACACGCCGCAGCGAGACGAGGCCCAGACCATGAACGTCGGCACGGACTTGCGCGAGACCGTGAAGCCGTTGAAGAGCATGGCCATCCTTAAGCGCACACAAGTGAGACCCAAAACGCAACGAACAAGAGACGAGCAGCGGCCCACACATATCGCCACACCACGCGGCTTCACGGCGAATTACAGGAATTTTCGGGCAGAATGCCGCACTTCGTGCAGCGCAACGGGAGTGCAAATCTTGCAGCCGAAGGTTTGTGGACGCGGTAGACGGTGCAAATCTGCCGAGCACGGTGCAGCAGTGCAGCTAGGAGCGACGACGACGAGCCGTGACGAGCCGGTGCCAGTGCCTAAATTCCAAGAACCCGGGCCTGTCGGCCGGTCCTCCCCTGCTTGGCACATGGGTTGGTTTTTTCTATCGATGATTTTTTTGTCTCGTGTCTCAACCTCTCATGCTGAGCACAGCCCTTGAATCTCTTGGTTCCACATGCTCTACGACTCTACGTCCTCGAGTTCGCCAGTCGAGAATAAATTCAACCTGCTTGGGCCCCGGCGTTAGGAATGGTGCTAGCAGAATCTGCGCAGAGCTGGAGTCTTTGGCCGCTGCAGCCACCATGAGGTACAGGCTGTCCTAATTATATGGAAGCCCGTGTCGTCAGGTTGCTCCATGAAGACTTGTCTTACCGCAAAGCAGTGTCCATGCTCACGTAGATGATGCTATTCCACAAAAGAACCTGGGCTTGAGAAAACAAACCCGCAGTTGCAAAAGCATCTTCGCATCTTCTGCAGCAAAGTGGCACTTGGGAACACGGTCCATTCGAGCTCGCTCCTGAGACTATGTCTCGATAAAAAGCCTGTCCCTTTCGGTTTGTTAGCTCTGAGCTCCGGGCAAGGCGAAGACCAGTGTCACAAAAAGGGCATTGCAAACGAGCGATAAGAGAAGGTTGAGGCTGGTAAAGGCAATAATGTATGCCCAGTCCTGAGCACTTACTGGCACTTTGCAACAGATGGGAAAGCCGCGTCTGTGCAGCTTCCAACAGATCCTGAGCCCAGAACACTGTACAACACCTCGGAAACCTCCAGCTTCATGACCGTCCGCTCTGCGATGGCCTTCGGCATGACCTGGCAGGCAGCAGGCAGCGGAGCTGCAGCTCAATACTGGCATGGCGTGGCATCAAAACAGCGAAGCAAGACTTTTGCTGCACGAGACAGGCAGCAAAGGCCCGTGGCCCACTTCGGGAAGAAAGTGCACGCTCAGCCTACGGCAAGCGGAGCACAACTGCTCTCTGTACAGGTATACCACGCATCGGTGGTTCCTCGCATTCCGATCTCGGCCATACCGTCAAAGTGGCTGCTTCCAGTCATCGACATCGGTATACCAGATTGCACCGTGGATAGCTTGTTGGTTTTAACTTTCCAGACTTTTGTTCGCCGGTCACCATGTCAAGTCAGAGAAGCTTCTCAGCGTCCTTGCCTTTGGAACGATGAGATCCGACCAGACGCCAAGGACTCGAAGCGCGGGTAATCCAAAACGTGTTCTCTTTGACACGTGCACGAAGACAGTGCCACAGTCCCTGCCGCAACTGCTACAGCCTTGGTTTGCGATACGGGATTACACATCCACAAAGTGGGGGGGCATCCATGCCACTGTTTGCTGGCACGTGGGTCCTCTGCGGAACAGGAGGCCCTTCTGCTCTCGGCGCACGGGAACCGTCACTGATGCACACGTACATGCAGAAGGAAGGCTGTCAGCAACCTGAGCAACACTTTTGGGGTTTTGTTTCGGTGAGTGTGTGCGGCTAGGGATGCAAATTTCAGTTGACGTGCAATGTTCAAGTCTGAGTGCGTGCTCTCTATGTATCTCGCTTCTTCTTCTTCTGCCACAGACTACGGGTACGCGCAGCACTGCATGCCCTCGCGCGATCATGTGCCCTGTTCTGTTCAGTCCAGGTGATACTGTGATGCCCCGATTGACTGATATGCTATGCAGCCGGCTTCCAACCTGCTTATTCACCCCAACCAGCTGCAAGCTAAGCCATGTTGTCGTAGTGCAGGTCGGCTGGCTGTGCTGCTCCGGCTGTGCGGTCGGTAGATGTCTGGCCAGGGGTCATGAACTTTCTGGGAGTCATGCCCAACCACTTCGTGTCCGAGTGAGTATTATAGGTCCCCCCTTGCTAATCCCAGCGTGCAACTTTCTTGATCTTGCGTGTTTGGGACCTGAATAATCGTAGCCAGCCGTTTGCACGTTGGCGTGGTGGCTGTTGGTGAAAGTCTATGCGAGTGAGCGTAATGTGTGTGTGGGTTATACTGGTGGCAGAGCTGTGGCGCAGTGGTGGCGAGCGCTGTTATCCTCTTTTTTACACCCTGAAACTCCCTTTCCTTTTTAGAGTCTTTTTCGCGCCCGGTTTGGAGATTCTTTCAAACCCCTGCTCAGGGCGGCAGGTGGCCCGGACAGGGGAATTCAAAGTCTCGGGTATAAAGTTTTGGGGTTGAGGGCCTCATTGTTTGGGGTCTTAGGGCAAAAGGAACCAACGAATTTTTGAGGAAGGCAAAAAAACTAGAAGACAAGTGGCCCGAAAGCATCATTTGCCAAGAGTGTAGCGCTATGTAAAGTCATAGAGTCAAGTACATAAAGTCATAGAGTCAA